AGGCACCCTAATTAATAAGATTCCCACTACGGGTTTAGTTATGGCCCAATGGATTTTAGAAATATAATTATAAAATAAATAAAAAATGACACATGTCAAGAAAAGAGCCACCCGGTGAAAATCACCGGGTGTAGCATCGTATTCCCCCTATTTTACTGTTGATCAGAGTCTTATAGCGCTATTCTACCGTTGGTCATAACATAATAGTGCTATTTTACTATTGACCACAGTATAATAGCAAAATTAAAATATTGTGAAAAATAAATAAATTTAGTTGTGTTGACAAATTAACATAATATTGCCAGTTAAAACAACAATATTAAACAAAACATAAAAAATAAACATGTAAAAAAAATGTTAATGTGTTCAAAATGTTTAAGGTCAATTTTGGTATATACTATATATATAGTAGAATTCTTTTTGAAGAAATGAATTTATTTACAAATAAAAAAAAATCGGGTCATTTTTAATGAAGTGGCTTATTTGCAGTGTTTTGAAACCCAGACCGATCGGTCAGTTGAACTGATTAAACTGCGAACCATTGCTTGTTCGGTCCAGTTTGTTCGATTAAACAATAATATTGGAGCCCGAGCGAAAATCGGATTTTTTTGCGCAAAATTTTGCATTTTTTTTTAAATAAACAAGTAAAATGGGTAAAAGGATGTCTTTTTATTGCCCAATTAAAAAAAATGTAAATATTTTTTTTTATTAGAAGACGTATTATTGTAGATTATAATATCTATAATCTCTTAAATGATTGGATATGATATGTGTACGTTGATATGTGTACTTCTCGGACCGTAATCTACTAATAAAATTACGCCACATAGGATAAGTACGAACCCCATACAAAAAAGTACGATACTTACCTCATTAGTGAAATTACATAAAAATCCTTAGAACTTAAACATAATTAAAAAAACTAGTAATTATTAATCAGTAAATAAAATTGGATTTTATAACAATAATAATTAAAATAAAACAAAAACCTTACTTATCAATTAAATCGGCTTGAAGAAATGAGAATCTTGCTTCTCTCTTCTGTCATTTTTTTTTTTTTTTAATAAACCCTAATCATCGTTTACTACTTGCCCGCAGGCAGATCGTCTCCCCCAAAAAAAAAAATTGGCAGAATCACAAATCCAAGGTCCAAAAGTTGCTTAAAGTTATAATCTCCTATCAATTTCTTCGTTGTTCTTATAATGGATATGTTTCGAGTATTTGTCCGTTTAATTAGTGTGTCAGGCAGCAAACTATAGATATCTGTTTGAAATTGCAGATTCTTTCTTTTGTTTTTGCGCTCCATGCTTGAATTTAAAAGAGTATATTTATAAACTGTGTAGCCTGTATGTATCTGTGTTGTCACTCTATGTGCAATTAATTTTTCTCTTTGGTTTTGATCTTGTTGATGTAGACTTTCAGTCTTGTTTTTTTTTTTTGGATTGAATGCTTTGTGCATTATTCTGGGAGATTGTTTCTGTTAATTTGCTCAAAGTCTCAATCTATTGCTTTTAGTTGTTAGGCGTATTTGGCTGTTAATTTAGTGCTATACCTGTACTTATTGAGTTTTTGTCCTTGTTTTATTCTTAATATTCTTAGCTTATCTTTTTTTTTCAATGATCAGTAAAAAAATTTCTTAGCAGCTTCTCATGTCATACAAGATAAAACAATCAAAAGAACAAAAAATGTTGATAATTGCACATATACAGTTAGATCAAGTTTTTTCAGCAAAAGCCCTTGTTGCAACAACTATTATTTTCATCTGATACAGTTAAACTTTTCTTGTAGGAAACGAGCGAATCCGAGTGGTATTGAGACATCGAGCTTGTTGTTTGAATACGAATTGGGTCGCTGAGGCAAAGATTCGGAGGGATCGGGCTGCATAACAAATTTGAAGAGACGTCGAGCTTCTATAACTTAGTCTTGGAGCCGAGTTTCTCATGTAGATTTCATTTAAGAAAATTGTTCCACATGGACAAATCCACTTATGTTTAACAATTTTAGTTGATGAAGATAGGCATAGTATTCAGCGGTTCTATTCTTTAATAATCTGTCATTGTAATAATATCTTTTTCGATCTTTTTGTTACATAGACATTTACTGTATTACACTTTTCTTAATTTGCAGACCATGTACCTATTGTATTGGTAAATAAATCGGGTCCAGAGGATGGCCTTTAAACATGGAATATATAAACCTAATTTATTTACAGAACATGTACCTTAATTCATTTATGTTTAGATTAACAACAATTATGTTTCTGTTAGTCTGATTATGATTTGCTACAAAGAAGACACAATCTACAGTAATAAACGAAACATTACTATCATTAACAGTTTGATATTCAATTATATAATTTCTACATTTTTATTATATTTGTAAACTACTTTAGTACCCATGATGTAATGACAACCTTTAAACTGGAAATTTATTTGAAGATTTATTTTTTACCATCTGGTGTTCTACTTGTTACTCGATTTTAGATTGTCACTTACAAACTATTACTAACTATATTGGTTACATATTTAGTTGTGTTACATTATGTACTGCAAGTTTAAGATATACATAAATTTTGTTCTTTTACAATAGTTACAGTTTGAGAAGTTAATGTAAAATACATGATATTTAATTCTATTAATTTCGTCTACAATTATAATATAGGGAAACAAAATCAAATCAATAATTTTATCAAGCCCAAGGAATGAAGCCTGGATCTGATGCAGTTCCACAGTATCTGCTTTTTTGCTATCTTGATCAGTTTTTTCACATGCTCCCAAACCAGACAACGTAACTGAATAACCAATGGCTACTAAATCCCAGAGCATTACCAACATCAGCCCAACATTTTGTTCGAAAATCTTGCATTTGTATGCTCTTCTGGACAATTTCTAATTTCAATTTTGCTCTCATCATGGGTAATGTGACCTTAACATTAAAAAATGGAGGAATCATGTAATTAACAACTACAAAAAACACAATATTATGTAAAAAACACAGACATAAGTACATATGAACAATATTATGTTTTGAGCATTCATTCAACGAGATTGAACATTTTTCACTTGATATGTACAAATTTAAGTTGATAACAAGAATCACAATACAAAAAATCATATCTCGATAAGTGCAATGAAGAAACGAATCACAATAATACACAAGTACTCACTTCATTCTTATTTGGAGAATCTATCTACAACGTATTACACGAATCGAAGAACCGTGTTTGATTTGATGAAAGAATTACGTTTGGTGGTTTTGAAGAAGTCCTATATATGTTTCTGCCCAATCTTGACAGTGGTTCGGCAGCCGAAAAACAACCGCTTCCTTAACTTCCATGGCAAGAAGGAGGTGAGGAAGGTGGCTTGATGGCATTTCTCGATCTGCTGCCTTTGTGTAGAGGGGGATTTTGATTTGGGGGAAAAAGTTTTGGACGTCTAATTTGTTAATAATTTTGTTTTACAATTAATATGATTACTAGTATTTAGTTTGATTTAATATTAGTAATGGAACGAAAATTGAATTTCTTAATTGATTTTTAAGGTTAAAAACGTAATTTACACAAAGTACAATGTAAGTACGATGATGTACCATCCATTTTTACTAGGTTCGTACTTTATTTTATAAATTCATAGGGTTTGTACTAGGTTGTACTAGGTCGTACTTAAGATCAACGGTTTTAATTACTTACTAAATATTATCAATGCACCAGATTCAATCGTTTTGGTCCGAGAAGTACAATGCCTCTCGGACCCTAGACAACCCCAAGAAAAATAGGTTTAATAAACGAAATGAGCAATGAGTTAATGTATGTAAAATAAAATGTGTATAATTATTTACTATAAAAACTATGTATACATAATTATAAAATAAAAATGAAAAAAATGGTTGGACCCCGATTGAACTTATCCAACCATGACCCAATATCTTATTCAGGTAACTGTTTGTTCCGGTTTTCAAAACATTGCTTATTTGCTATTTGCCCCATCGACCTTTTGAACCGTCATCTCTCCGCACCATTTCCCCCCAATATCTAAGGGTAATTGGCACTTTGCACCCTTCTAACATATCCATTTGGCACATAGGCACTCCTAAATTATAAAATGACATTTTGCACCCTCAAATTACCACTAGCTTGGCAAACTGCACCGTACGACAATTTCCCATTGAAAATATGAAAATTACATCGGATACTATTTGGCCTAACCTAAAGGCGAAGAACGTAGATATATTCCTCCATTTTCAAGTAATAGGAAGATTGCCCTCGTTTGTCTATTCTTTTACTACTCATCACAAAATAATCAATTCTTTTACCAACTAAGCATGATTTCCTTTTAGATCTTTTCCGCAAGCATCAATTCTCAATTAGTTGCTTTAAAGAGCAAAATCCGTAGTGATCTTGAGTGGGATAAGTTCAACAAAACCAAGAAAAACATAATCTTGGTGAGTCGGACAGTTTTAAGACTCTGTCATCTTTGGGTTTTGTTGGATAATCGGATTGCATTCCGAAAACAAAAGTTTGAGATAACTCGTATAACAGTCGAAATTGATGCTAACTTGTGGGCGGAGATTGTGTTGGTACAAATTTTAGACTAAAACTCTAATTTTACAATAAATTCAAGAACACTTAATAAATTAGTGAGTAAAACCCAAACGAATATACATTGTTCACTATAAGAAAACATGGCTTCACCGACATAATTTTCCGTCGGTGATCAAAAGAATTCAGTCGCTAAATGGAATCACTGACAGATTCACCGACATAAAAAATAGGTCACTATAAACCCCGCCACTAATTTCAGGTGAAATCCGTGCCGGAAAGATATTAAGGGTGCACTCTGCCAAGCGTGTAGTCTTCACCGGATGTAGCATAGAAATAACCAAGTTACTGGTAATTAGAGGATGCAAAGTGCCATATTTATAATGTAAGGGGTGCAATGTGCGAAGTATGTATATTTAAAGGGTGCAAAGTGCCAATAACGCAATTCTTAACCCCATTTCCAAATCCTTAAATTAGAAATCGAAGAACCCTAACCCGTTAATCCTCTGCCCCAATCTAGAAACCCCCAATTGACTGAACAATGGTGTGCATCAGAAAAGCAACGGTGGATGATTTGCTGGCGATGCAGGAGTGCAATTTGTTCTGCCTGCCGGAGAACTACCAGATGAAATACTACATATACCACATCCTCTCGTGGCCGCAGCTCCTCTACGTTGCCGAGGATTACAACGGCAAAATCGTCGGCTACGTTTTGGCCAAGATGGAGGAGGAATCGACCGAGTGCCACGGCCACATCACCTCCCTCGCCGTGCTCAGGACTCACCGGAAACTCGGCATCGCCACTAAGCTCATGACCGCCGCCCAAAACGCCATGGAGCAGGTGATTTTTTAAGTTATCGTAAACCTATTTAATCAGCTCTTTGATTTCTGTTTTTTTTTTTTTTTTTTTTTTTTTTTTTTTTGCTTGTTGCATTTGTGTTCAAATTGATCATTTTTTCTTCTTTTGTTCTAATTGTTTGGTTTTTGTAGTTATATCTATCTATATTAGGAAATTTACGCACATAAATGACCACTTCGCTGCCTCGACAAGCCGTGATTTTGCTGCTTTTATGTTGCGTCATTTTGATAATCCTATTATGTTGATTTTATTTACTAATTTGGAAATGCCTTTTATACCGGACTACTCTCTCGATGTATAATCGAATCTTTTGAAAACGAGAGTAATCGATGTAATCTTAAAATCGGCTATTGGTTTGTTGCAATTATTCAGGCTATAATTGCAGGAAGATATTGTAGTTATAGCTCTCGTTTTGCAGTGGCGAAGCTGGGGGGACCAGATATGTATTAAAAAATAACGTAAGAAAATTAATGAAAATAATTATTGTTCCAAGATTGGTGAATCTAAGATGTTGCTACATGGTGGATTTAAGTTTTTGGAGGTCTGGGGGCAGCGCCCCCGAAAAAAAAAAAAATTTTTACAAAACCAGAAGATAGGAAAAGAAAATTTTAGTACTTTTTTTTGCATTTATTTGGATTTTAGATGCACTAAATAATAAAAAATTGGTGGACTTAATAATATAAAGGCGTAATACTGTGGAAATTTTTACAATTGAGGATGGCTCGAGTCCATCACTTCCCGAGTGTAGATTCGCCCCCGGTTCCATGTCATAATTCGTAACTTCTTTATCCTACTTGTTAGATCCATTTACTATAAGAGGACAATGCAAATGCAAAATAAAAAACTATACATACATATATAGTAGTAAAAAAAATTAAAATTTGAGGGGGGGCCATGGCCCCCCTGACCCCTACACTGGCTTCCCCACTGCTCGTTTGCATGGTCTGATTTGTATCACTGTTCATGATTGACTATCTCTACAGTAAACGTTTTATTTTGCTACTATTTGCTTAATGTGCCATGTTTCGGACATATATTCTGATTTGGATATTTTTCTTCGATACGTCATTTTGCTTTTAATTTTTGGTTTAATGCACAAAGTTTTGGATATATATTTTATTAATGTTTTGGATATACTTTTTGATTAATGCACGATGTTTTGGATTTATATTTTGTCCTCTATATATAGATAGCGAACTTATATTGGGTTCTTGATTGATAAACAGGTATATGGTTCCGAGTATGTGTCGCTGCATGTAAGGAAAAGCAATAAGGCTGCATTTAATTTATACACTGGGACATTAGGGTACCAAATTAACGATATGGAGGCAAAATATTACGCCGATGGAGAGGATGCTTATGATATGAGGAAGCAATTGAAGGGTAAGAAGCAGCACCACCACCACGGCCACCACCACCACCATCACGGTGGTGGTTGTTGTTCTGCAGACGTGAAATCAGATGAAAAGCATGGATCAGCAGAGGCGAAAACAGAGTGATAAACAACGGGTCAGAGTTTATCTTATATTATTAAATTTGCTTTGTTAGAGTGGAATCATCGAGTACACCTAACAAACACACATGTTCAATGTATTTGCTTATAATAAGCCCTTATGGCGCTTATAAATATGCAATTTGTTTTTTTTTTTGGAAATTTATATGTTAAGTAATGACAATTTTGTTTTTTTTGTTTTTGTTTTCAGTGTTTTGGATTATTCTGTACTAGCTTTGAATTCAGACAATTTCCATATCGTTTTCGAGTTTTATTGGATGCTATGTTTTTTTCTGGGAACAGTAGTTGATGTGTGATCTGTGAATGTTGATGCTGTTCATAGTCACTAATGCCAGTAGAGGATTAAGAGATCTAATTTTGATCTAGTTTTTCCGATTTTTGAAAATTGGAACAATTATTCTGTTTAGACTTTAGACTGTGAGGCAGGATGGTGCTGTTTATATGGTGTTTGTGTGATGGTTTATATGGTGTTTGTGTAAGTTTATGAGCTTGGTGTTATTTTAGAAGAATAACACCTTCCTCCAAACATCTTTAAACATGATCTGATCTTACAAGTTACACTGTAAATTGCGTATTTTTTTTTTTTTTAATCAAAATAAAAACAAATATATTTTTCTTATCAAATTGTTCTCTCAAAATAACTTCTTCAAAATAAAATGAAAACATAGAGGCGACGCAACTTTATGTTACACCGTTGAATGGACATGAGCAGCATTCTTGTAGCCGAATTATTTGAAATGATATTTATCCACCTCTGTTCAAGACTGTAGTGGTACGGGGATGAGATTAATCTTGAAATCCACAAGTTGTGGGAACAATGAACATTGGTCAATCTCAAATTCCGTGAGATACTCCAATCGTAAATATTTGACGGCCTTCCATTCCCTGTCAGTATCCGTGTGGTCCAAGCTGCTGAGTTTTCCTCCTCTGATATACAACTTCTCCAAATCCGGCAACCTGCTTGGCCACAACCACTCCGGAACCGCCTCGAACGGCACGCACCGGAGGTCTAGTTTCCTCAGACTCTGCGGAAGCGCCGCCAATGACGATGTCGACGACGACTCTCCGGTCCACGATATTGTCAGGATCCTGAGATCAGACAAACCGACGAGGGTCATTAGCGGACCAGTGTCTCCCTGATTGCTGACCCGTATGCTCAATTTCCTCAAGTTTTTAATTCTTGCTAGATCCCCGATGGTGCAAGAAATGTCCCCTAGCACGAATCCCTTTAAAACTTGTAGATCAAGGAGGTGTTGTAGTCCCTTGGGCATGCTCTCCAGCAGGTAACACTCGGATATGTCCAAATGCGTGAGGTTCTTCATTGCTGACATGTCTTTAGGCAGTTTCTCGAGGTTGTGGCACGCCCTCAGATCGAGAATCTGGAGGCTGACGAGCTTCACGATTGATGGGGGGAGAGCTTCGATCCTTGAAATTCCTCTGAGGCTGAGGTATTTCAGCTTCTTCTGCGACCCCAAATCGTTGAGTAACAGTGCCTGATCTTCGACTTCTATGTGATGGGAGGAGGAGTTTTGCCAACGCCCCATCTGCAGGACCTCCGCCTTCTTCAGCTTTGCAAGCCAGTCGATTCTCGTCCCCAGGTATTGAACCTTCACGTTGAACACGGTCAGCAGATCCTGCTCTCTCTCCCCATCACTCACGATGCTGTTGTACGTGTCGTTTTCTTGCCACAGGAATGCTCTGCGTTTGCAGTTGAGAGGCCTTCGCGGTGGAGTAGTAAATTGCAGGAACCCGTTTTCCTTCGCCACGATGATCAGCATGCGACGAACCCAAGGATACACGACGAAGCTGTTTACGCTCCACTTTGCTCGGGGGTCTATGTTGGGTTTGATGAAGCCTTGGTAGATCAGTTGTTGAAAGACTTGTTCTCCGACCTCCTCGGCAGTTTGATTGTTGTTTTTGGCGACAAGTCCCTCCCCCATCCACCAATAAATGATGGGTTTTTTCTTTATCACACTTTTTTCTGGAAAAATCGAGAGGCACAACAAACACATTTTCACTTGGGGGCTCTCCACGCAGTGGAAACTCGCTAAGAGCCTGGACATGCCCTTGCTCTCAAATATTTTATCCTCTATCCCGAGATTCACCCACTCCTCGGAGACTGTCTGATCATGGTCATAACCCCTGGTGGCAGGCTCGTAGTTGGGCTGAAATGAAATGTCAACCGTTGAAATCAAACTCTTCAGTTCCTCAATATCAGTTTTTATGAGATCCAGCTTTCGGGAGATCTCAGTTTCCATCTCAGGATCCTTAAAGATGTCGTCGTCTAGGCCTTGTTCCAAGGCACAGAACTGATCCGTGACTCCCTTCTCCCAGCTTTTTATCTTTGGATAGAATTCTTTAATGCCGTTTAGCTCTTTCTCGATTTCGTTGAACTTGAAAACCAAACAAGAATCGACAGCGTTTTCTGTTGCTGCTTCCTTTGCCTTTTTGAGCCGGCCCAGAAGCACCGACACTGCTTCCTCGGGTTTCTTCCTGATCGACATTAGAATCTGCTGTGAAGAAAAAAAATGAAATCTGTACGAAAGAACAAGTGTGGTTGTTCAGAATCCCTCTCTCTCAAACACATCAATTTTTACTTTTATTCCTTGTTAAACTATTAACCAATTATTTTTCTTTCAAATAGGGAAATAAAGAAATACAAATACAGCAGTAGTAACAAGCTGTCAAGAATCGTGTTGATATAAGAAGACCTTGTCCTTCCATTTACAGCTGACAGGCGAATAGTCTTGGTCTTTAACTTTTCTTTGTTAAAGATAGAGAATGTCAGACCATGTGCCAACAAGGGCCAAGAAACTGTGGGACGAGTGGAATCTCCGTTGTGTTGTCCTAATTAGTCTCTTGTTTCAAGTGGTTCTAATATTTTTAGCAGGTTCAAGAAAACGAAGGGCGAGCCTCTGGTTAACATGGTTCATATGGATCTGTTATCTCCTCGCCGATTGGATGGCCGCTTTCGCTGTGGGGCTGATCTCCCACGGCCAATCCAACGCCATCAGCAAGGAACTTGCATCTTTTTGGGCGCCATTTCTACTGCTCCACCTAGGCGGCCCCGACGCCATCACCGCCTTCTCTCTTGAAGACAACGAACTGTGGATCAGGCATCTGCTCGGCTTTATCATCCAGCTTATTGCTGTTGTCTACGTTTTCTTTCAGTCCCTCCCCAACTCTCAGTTCTGGCTGCTGACAGTCCTCATGCTGCTCGCCGGAGCATATAAGTACACCGAGCGCACACGCGCTCTGTACGGAGCATGTCTGAGTAATTTCAAGGCTGCCCTTCTTCCAAATCCCGACGCGGGACCCAACTACGCTCGGCTTATGGAGGAATACTCCGCAATGGTGGCCGCTCGTGTCCCTGTTACGATTGCGAAGGAACCCGAGAGGGGCTCTTCTTCATTGTCGACAAACAACAATGACAATAATAATATTTTCGAAACGGAAATATTGAGCCCCATGGAAATCGTGCTGAACGGGTACAAGTTCTTCAACATCTTTAAGGGACTCATTGTTGACCACATGTTCAGCTTCCACGAGCGGAACGAAAGCCGCGACTTCTTCTTCCGGCGCCAGGCGGCTGACGCGTTTTCGGTATTGGAGGTGGAGCTGAATTTCATGTACGATGCACTCTACACCAAGATGGTGATGGTCAATTCCATTTTTGTGTATCTACTACGTGGTGCATGCTCTGTCCTCATAGGTATGTGTTTGCAGCAATTCATATGCCTTCCTAAACACAACATCAGCCTGTCTGATAAAATCGTCACATATGTTTTGCTTGGCGGTGCTGTTTGTTTGGATTTGGTTGCTTATTTCAACCTCCTTTTCTCCGACTGGACTATTGTCTCGGCCAAACAGGCCATGTCGAGGTTCCTTATTAGATCACCGTTCGGCAAACGAAACCACCGATGGTCCAATGCCATGTCTCAACACAGCTTCATTAGTTTCTGTCTGAAACCACGGTTCAGATGGGTGAACACCGTAGCTGATTTTCTCGGAGTTAAGGATATCCTTGATGAGTGCAAGTACAAGAAAAGCATCGTCTGCGAGCAGAACCTAAAGGAGTTCATTTTCAACGAGCTTCGAACTAAGGCTCAGAAAGCACAAACCAACAAAATGGCCAAGGAGATATATTCAGCAAGGGGCGAATGTGTTCTCTTGGACTACCCACGTCACTACTCCTATCCTTTGATCTCGTCCAGCGTGAGCGATCTCGAGTCAGAGTACGACGAGAGCCTGCTGATGTGGCACATCGCCACCGAACTTTGCTATTTCACGAGCACCGACCAATCGAACAACAATCCGAATCGCGAAATATGCAAAGTCCTCTCGGACTACATGTTGTACCTCTTGGTCATGAGGCCGAAATTGATGTCCGCGGTCGCAGGTATAGGGCAGATACGCTTCACCGACACCTGTGAGGAAGCTAAAATTTTTTTCCAGAGGTGGCGGCACGAATTAATATCAACATGGTCAACGCCCACCAATATTGGCGATCGTAAAGTTTCGGCATGCGAAAAGCTTATGAGTGTGAAGACAGTCGTGAAGCCTAGAGAAGTGAAGGGTGATAGAAGTAAATCGCTGCTGTTCGATGCGTGTATGCTTGCGCATGAGCTGGAGAAATTTGGGGAGGTTAGGAAATGGGAGATGATGAGCAAAGTGTGGGTGGAACTGTTGGCCTATGCCGCCAGTCACTGCCGCGCTAACGAGCACGCTAGGCAACTCAGTGAAGGCGGGGAACTGATCGTGTTCGTGTGGCTGCAAATGGCACATTTTGGGTTGGGAGAGCAGTTCAGGATAGAGGCTGGACATGCTAGAGCTAAATTACTAGCTAAGGAAGTGAATACTGAATACCCATGAATGAATGAATGTATATATTCCGACGCCACACCCGAGAAAATAAGCGTGTTCGTTCATCTTTAGATTCGTTATCTGCAGAGTTGTTTGTAATCTCCATTAAATCTCAGCTTTCAAATTTATTTTGACACATTGTGTATTTTTATCCATTTCTATATAAAAAAAAATTATATTAAATGATAGATTTCATTAAAAGCTTAAGGTTTTTTTTGTCATTCAATACGGTAAGACCAAGGAGCGGGCGTGTTTGAGTTAGCCATTCAACATTTTTTATACCCTTTTATATATTAGTAATAGTATTAAAATGTTTTAAAATATAGGTCCCTCGTGACAAAACTTATTATAATTAAATGACGATTCCAACTAAACATTTGCTTCACATCCTTTGATAAATTCAGTCCAAAAATACCCTCCACACACAAACAATAAAATATGCACCAAGTAATATTCAAACTGCAATTTTTTATTTTATTTTTTGCAGTTAATATCTTCAAATTTGCATCTAATTATTTTTTGTTAATTCTTTTTCACGTTTCTATTTTTTTTTTTCATTGTAGTCTTTTTTTCTCACTATTATAACTAAATATTTCTACATAATATTGAAAACTATGAAAGTAAGATATTCTTTTTTTTTTAGTTTTCTTCGACCGTAGTCATCTATAGACATTATTTGTAGCAAACCGTAGTAATTTGTAGTCACCTATAGTCATTTATAGTCACACCATCTGAAAATTCCAGCTCTCATTTGAACTCTAGCCGCCACCCATTCACAAACACTCACGAACAATTGCAGGCGGTAGATCTGCTATAAATTTGGACCACACACAAACACACTCTCGAACATCGTCACATTAGACTCATCTGACGGCGAAGTGGGTCTTCTCTTCTCCACGCGCCGCGTCATACTCCTCCCGTTGCCCGTCATTGTTGCCCGTAAAACACGCCGCTGCCGTCGTCAATCCCAGATCCAATCCGGTACTCGTCTGGGTATGAAACTTTTCCTCTTCAACCCCCATTCCGAACAAGTCAACACTACCGAGAGAGAGAGAGAGAGAGAGAGAGAGAGAGAGAGAGAGAGAGAGAGAGAGAGAGAGAGAGAGAGAGAGAGAGAGAGAGAGAGAGAGAGAGAGAGAGAGAGAGAGAGAGAGAGAGAGAGAGAGAGAGAGAGAGAGGTTGAAAAAAAGAGAGAGTCGTGGTGAGGCTAGACATGACCAATGGTTCGATTAGAACCGAAACCGAACCGGGGTCAATGGTTTTTTAGCCGAACCAGAACGGGAACTGAAAAATCAGTTCGGTTCCGGTTCCCCATTTTTGTAACCACTAACCGTCGCTTAGACCGCGGTTAGAATCAGTGTAACCCGACTTTTTTTAAATAGTTGAGAAGCTCTTATGGCTGATAAGATATTTTAAGAGCCGATAAGTTGTTACATCTTAGTTTTCAGAAATTAATTTTTAAAGTGTTTGGATAATGAGTTTATTTGCTATTTTTACTCATTATAAGATTTTAAATAAAAAGATGGGTGGAGGTGTTATTTACAAAATATCTTACTTGCTCTCCAACAACTTATATTAAAAGAAAAAGTTTTTTTTTTTTAAATTATCAAAGACTTTTGAAGAAGTTATAAGCTGTTAAACATCTTATAAGTTCGTTTTAACATCTTATAAATTTAGCCCAAGACCGTCTAAATTGTGATAATCTATTTTCTTAGTATAGTTTACCTAGTCTTTTTCTTTTTCTTGAAAATATAAAAATCATTAATATAGTTTAGGCTAAATTGCAACCACCCCTGATGTATGGTCAAATTACGAAAACTCCCCTCTTGTTTGGGTAATTACAACCACCCCCTCAACTATAAATCTTCTTACACGTCCACCCTTGCGGTTTCAAATTTAGAGGATTTTTTTAGATTATATAGAATATTATCACTTTTGTGCCTACTTTATCACATTCAAATGTCGTATTTTGAAGCAAAATGATCATAATACGTGTTTTTTGGCTTGTTTATATCATATTGTGGTGCATCGGAAACTGTATTCTTACACAAAACAAGTACAAACTAGAGCACATTCCACGAAATCTAGATGCTTACGTTGAATTTGATACAATAAGGGTCGAGGTATAAGAAAAAGTCATAGTTGAGGGGTAGATGTAATTATCCAAACAATAGGGACTTTTTCGTAAATTGACCATACGTTAGGAGTGGTTTTAATTTACCCTGTAGTTTAAGGTGGTGTTTGCAAATGATTATTTAAAAGCAGAAGTTAGTAATTGTGATTAAAGTTAGTTTTAAGTGCTTATTTCTAAAAGTTGAGGGTGTATGCAAATATTTCAGAAAATGAACTAAAATTGAAAAAACAGGGTTATGGGTGCTTTTAAAAAAATAGTTTAAAGCAGATTATTTTAAGAGAAGCAAAAGCAAAAGTTGATTTTGCAAACATATAAAAACAGATTATGAGCAAAAAAAACCGCATAATCACTTTTAAAAAACATTTGCAAACACCACCTAAGTAGTCAAGTAGTCGTGATGATTGTTTGTTGAGAGATTATTGGAGGTTAAAAATATTATAAAGTCAACTTCCGCACAAGATTCTTAAATTACCAATTACAACTTGCAAACAAAGTAACTTATACAGAAAATTCTTAAATTATCAATTACAACTTACAAATAAAATAAACTACCAATGAGCTTCTTAAATGGATAAATTATACCTACACCCCTCAAGTATGTTAAAATAATATGTGATGTTAGTAATTACAGTTACATCCCTTAAACAATCACTAGAACCAGGATTTCATGTCTTGGAGACCAATATGCACTTTATTTGTTTTCCGCGTGGCCGTTCACGCTACCATAGATGAAAATTTATAAATTTTAAATAAAATAATAAGGATTTAAGAAATGTTGGGGCAGCCTTGTCACCCCCTAATTTTATGTTGTCTACACCACTTTCTGAAACTAATAATTTGTTTGAACCCTAACGGGATAACTTATCCAATGAATTATTCCATTATAATTTCTAATAATGTTTCATGGTAATCATTGTAATTACCGATTCTATAGAGACAATAAAGTTATTTTAGCCTACTGCAGGGGTATATGTGTAATTTACCTTTCTTAAATTATCAATTACAACTTCAAAAGGCAACCTCCGGGCATCAACCAATAAGAGATCATTCATATGACTAAATCTTAAAAAAGGACTATTCAAAAGTTACAAGTCAAATTCTACAAAAGATTTTTAAATTGCCCTTCATCATTGCCCATTTTGTTTGACCAAATACAACTTGCAAAGTCAAAGCTCCAACACAAGCAATAATGAATACGCTGAACACATGATCTAGATAATTATTTGAACTGAAATACATAAAAAAAAGGGTCTATTAGATATAACCCCCTTAGACATTCAAATAATAGGGGTAGACCCAAATTTAAATTTGTCATTTTGATAAAAACCCAAACTTTTCTAAATTACATAAGTACCCTCAATCAAATCCCACAAATCACGTTATTTTACCTTTTGAAATAATATCAAATCCCACCATATTTTCCCGTTAAAACACTATCCCCACAAACCCACTACCAAAAAATCTGCAAACCTCTCAAAACCAGAAATTTATACGGATCTCGCGGACGGTGCCGGATAAATTAGATGAGGAAAGTACTTGCTCCTCGCCGGAGTCCGACGGAGACACCGTCCGCTGTGGTGCAGCGTCGTAGCAATTTTCCGGCGCTGGATTTCGCACAACGGCCTTTTCTCGTCTTTTCGAAAGCATTCATTGGAGAACTCCCACCGATCAGGCATAACCCTCCCAAATCCCTAAAAAAACATCAGATAAGCAACTCAATCAATAACCGAAACAAAAAAAAACCAAAATTCCTCGTTACAGATCGAAGGATTCGATTAGCAAAAGCTCACGTAAGTATTCAGTTGCCGAACGAAACTGGAGAAATTATTGTGCTTGAAATACTTGGGCAGCAAATCTCTGGCAAACTCACGTAATTTGGCCCAACGAAACCGACAATATACTAATAAACTATCCCACTGATATAATTTGACTATGGATCTCGTTAATCGATTATGGGCCGCCGTCACTGCTCGAATCTAGGGTTACTCAAATCTAGGATTACTCAAATCTAGGGTTTTGATATTTCTTCGGCCCATAGTTGATTAACGAGATGCATAGTCGAATTACATCTGTGTTAATATACTATCCCATATCATTTAATAGACTATCCCACTGGTATAATTTTACTATGGATCTCGTTAATCGACTATGGGCCGAAAAATCATCAAACCCCTAGAATAATAATAATAATAATATATATGGAAACTGAATAATATGTTTGTTTGAAATACTAATCAATTAGGGTAATTTTCCTTATTATATGAAAACGATTAGGGTAAATAATAATATATATGAAAAAATAATAATATAAATGGAAACTGAATAATATGTTTGTTTGAAATACTAATCAATTAGGGTAATTTTCCTTATATCATGTAATAGACTATCTCATTGATCTAATTCGATTATGGATCTCGTTAATCGACTATGGATCCCGTATTATTCAACCACATAGTATATTAATAATTTCAATATAGTACATTAATCTGCTATGATAGTATATTACGGTTATAGTAGTGATATGAAATTGTGTTACAAACAATACACCACTGAAATGACAAGAACATTGAGAACAAAACCAACGTAAAGTATTCCAACATAACCAATAAAATAGTACATTAATAATCTCATAATTTCAATCTAGGGTTTTGATAAAATACTTAAAACACATCATAACACAATCAAACCAATATGTCGAGTTAAAAAACTCTAGTACATTAATAATCTCATAATAGTATAATAAAATGATAATGGTAGTATCATATGGTATTCATAATAGTATACTACTGTATTACAACGGTTTAGCACTTAACCAACGTTACCGAGCCATTACATCGTAAACACCTCTTTATAGCAACCAACCCACCAAACCTCGAAATCATGTCCTCATCGTCAGCCAAGATACATTCACCAACGCCTTCCAGCCTATATGTCATGCTTATATCCCACCCATCGAGTTGTGGCCACTTTGAAATAACAAATGCAACCAATGAACCGCGAGTAAACCCGTTCGAACACCTCTTTATAGCAACCAACCCACCAAATCTCAACAAAATCCGTACAAAATTCGCCATCGATA